CTCTAGCCTCTATATGATTGATTGATTGATTGATTGATTGACCACAGCAGCACTACCAGGTTAAAACAAGGATGATGACAATCTCTTTCAACTGATGTCTTGTACTCATCCCTCATTTCCATTAAGAGAAACTCCCAGAAATGGCCCCCCTCTCCTTGCCCTCACTACCAGTGGCAGGCAGGCAGGAGAACTGGCTCCTGGGTCATGAGAGCAGGAAAGCTGCCCCCGTCCCTCACCTGCTGCAGCATTCAGGAGCGCAGGGCCCTGCCCATCACCTGGGCAGCACCGCAGAGCTGACCCTGGTGGCACGGGTATGGGCGAGCAGTCCCCGGGGGCATGAGCATGGGAGAGCTGGCCCTGCAACCTGTTTGCCTTGTGGTGGCTGGGACAAGGGAGAAGTGCCCTCCCTCCCCCCACACCCTCCCCCCTGTGGCAGGAGAGCTGACCCTGGGTTCATGAGAGTGGTAGAGCTGTCCCTCACTAGCTGCAACACTTGGGAGCACAGGCCCTGCCCTTCGCCTGCGCGGAACAGTAGATCCGGCCCTACTCGCCAGGGTGCAGGCGAGCCAGTCCCGAGAGCGTGGCAGCAAGAGAGCTGCCTCTGCCCCTTGCTGGCTGCAGCCTTGGATGAGCTAGCCAGGGTAGGGCTGGAGAGCTCACCCTGGCGGTGCGGGCGTGGGAGAGCTGGTGAGCGGACCAGTTCAGATACCTCCCGGCCCAGATCCAGGGCTCTGAGCTGGCACACCCCGACATCGACCTCATAACCTGCTGGAGCCTGTGAAGGGGCGGGTCCTACAGATCCAAAGCTGCAGGATGTCCGAGGGGAGTCTCAGTGAGGTTCCAGTATTGATAGAGCAGCAGAAGCCAGAGGCCTCGAACCAGACCAATGACTCATTGTAACGAATTGCCAAGTAACTAAGTGTGAATAAAAGGGTAAACTGTGGGGCACACTGCGGCACTACAGCGTCCACATGGGTTTTTTTCTTTTGGGGCAAGGTTACAAGGCCAGAGGTTGGGCACGAGGGAACCGAGAGATAAACGGGGTTGGGGGTACATGATGTGAAATTCACAAAGAACCAATAAAAAGTTAAAAGAAAAAAGAAACCCCCCAGAAATGAGCCAAATGTCACGTAAGCTGCTTAGCTGGCCCAGGAGACCTTCTTTGTAGATGAAAGCATAGTTGATCTTTTTGATAAAATCAGACCCTGGACAATTCCAAATGCCTGGTGCTCCAGTTAGGATTCCTACGTGTTAAAGCTCCAGATCCACACATCTCGGTCCCACTCTTGGCACTCTCTGGGTCACCAAGGCACCCACCTTGGCCACCTTCACCACTTCCCAGCTGTCTTCAAAAGCTGAGTCACCAGAAACCAGACAGAGGGCAGCCCTGCACATCTTCTCCTTCCGGGGTCTTCACATTCTAGAAGTGTTCTGACATTAGCTAAGAGAAAATTAAAGGGAAGCTTTAAATTATGTTTAAAATTTTCACAGTATTGCATTTAAGCAATTCTATTTGTGGCAAATAGAGCATTCAGTTGTTGAAAGACACCAGTTCCTTTTATGCATGATTAGCTAATTAAGGGTTTTCACTACGATCTCTCTTCCTGCCTTCCCATCCTTCTCACTCTTTGGTTTTCTCCGGGAACCCCGAGGGACAGCTACAGGCCTGCTTAAACCATTAGTGGAGATTTGAGATTAGCGGCTTGAAAGCTTCCGGACATTTCTGAGCGCCCATCCTTGCGGGAAGCGGACCGATTGTTTCATTCTGTGTGGAGTAGTTCATGTTCCCCCTGGAGCTTCACAAAAGCAGTGGATGAAGTGTTGTCCCCTAAACACATCTGAGAGCAGGAACTGCTGCTTCCCGGAGACAGGGCTGCAGACATGTTTACTGCCCTGCTCGCGTCCTCTGGCCCGCATTCTAATTGCCGATGTGGCTTGCTTCCTGCAGCCCTTGAAACCCTGTACTGTGTAGATTAGCGTCTTCCTCTCCGGTGGTTGGTAAACCTCCGTCCCTACAACTCCTGATGGATAGATGATACCCATAGAATAACGTTCCCCCTGTCCTTGTCAGTAGACACCTCCCTTGTGAGAATTAACCTGTACTCCTATTTAGAGAACCTAGGGGAGACAGCCCTGTGACATACTGTGGCTTCCTCCATGATGAAGCAGGAGGATGGGGTTAAAAAGGGGGGGGGGAGGCCAAGGGCATCAAAATTGGCATCTGTAAGCAGAGCTAGGCTGAAAAGAGCTCCCACCTTGGGCTGCCTGTGAATGGGGGGAAGCCCATGGTCTCCCACTGCTGAAGGCTGGGAAGGCAGCGCTGTACAAATAAGCAGTCTATAAAGCACGGACACTCTCCATGGCCCAGAGGTTCTGAGGCTCAGACCTGCCCAACTCTCTGACCTACTTCACTTCCAGACAGCGTCTTTCTCTTTCTTAAAAACCTGCCTCTGTTTCTATCGCTGTCGATGCGTCCTTGAGCCGATTCTTTGTTCCAAAGCACAGGAACCAAGGAATCCCAGCAGGCGCCTGGGTACCAGCCCCTGTCTGTGCCAGGAGGCACAGCAGCTGCCCTTGCTTTCCTGGCTCGCTCACCACCTGCTGCCTCACTTCTGCTCCAAATCCCTGCTTGGGCTCTGCTTTCAAAAGAAACCAGAGCGCGCAGGAACCACAAGAGAAGGCTGGGCTGAGGCCTGGCGGTCACTCTTCACGGAGACTCGCTGAGAGAAGAACTTGAATTTGAATTCCAGCCTTGCCAAGCTGAATGAGAATACGGACAAGCGACCCTCTTTGACCCCAGGAAGAAAATAACTGGCAAATCACATTTTTTTCCTCACTGGGATTTACAGGAACATGTCCTGCACTGATGGACAGTCTCTTCCAGCCTTGAAAGATTAAAGGAACAGAAACTCGAAAACGAGAGAGCGGCCTAAGTAAAGTCCATTCCACGGCTCATCTACTGCTAATTAACTCCAAAGGCTTAGTCCACAAATGCCGCTGAAAGATGAACCCGGGATCCCAATAACTGGATTCTTAAAGCGAACATTCAACTAGAGAGAGACAGGTCGTAGCACGACCCAGCTCAGTTTGTCTGCTGGCACTATTAGCAGGGACCACCACAGCCTTGGATACCTCCCTCGCCCCACAGAACCCACATCCAAGTTTTCCACCAGCCACGAAGTCTCAGGCCACGCCCTCCACCCCAGGTCAGCATGGAGATAAGATGCTCCACTCTGGAGTACAGTGGACCTGGGCACACACAGCTGGAGCTCCAGCTGAAATGTGCAAGTACACAATGAACTACTCCCGACGGAGGGTGTGTTACTCAGACTCCTGTCCCTCCGCCTCCCCACGGAGGAAGATTGGCAAGTGCGCTGGCCCCTCCCACAGCCTTCCATTATTGATAATCTTTTATTTCCTCCTCTCCACGTAAATAACCACCACCCAGCAGGAGCTCCCTGAAGTACCAAGCTTGCTTGTCTTTTGTTTCTGGTTTGTTTTTGTTTCCCCAGCCATTAGCCCAAGAGAAACAAACTTGGTCCTACTGGGAACCATGTAGATACTGAGGTTAAATCTCCCAAGAAAGCGGGTGTGCACAGTAGCCACAATCCTCCTGAGCCCTGAAAGGCTGAGCAGGACTAGTGGAACATGCCTGACATTCCAGGCAGCCACTAGGAGGCTGTGCGAGGTGGCCCTTCTGGTGCTCCTGCCCCTCCCTACACCCTGACTAGGTCACTCCCTCCCCTCACTAGTTCTGGGCACGAAGGAGACAAGAACCATGGGTAATCATACACACTCAAATTTACCTGTGCTTGCTCCTCAGCCTCTCCTCTCCCAACAGCAGTGTCCCCAACCCAAACACACATCACAGGGTCACCAACCCCCATCTCTGAACCCTGCGTGGTTGTAAACCGCGCCATCTTCTTACCACCATGTCTAGAAACAGGGCCCTCCCTCTGGATGACCCCCTCACTGTTCCGCAGGCGGGCAACGTTGCCTCCGCTCTCAAGGAAGAGAGGCAAAGGAGTCAGCAAACCCCTGCCCTACTTCCAGTCCTCCGCTTGACCGGCCTGCCACAGCAGACCCGTCCCTGCCGTGTCGCTCTTGACTCCACCTTTGCCAGGAGCACCCAGAGGGGAAGACACGTCTGATTTTATTTTAGGAGAGAGACGTAAAACACAAAGTACAGGAAAAGTTTTAAGACCCTTTCCCTTAAGGTTCTTCCAGAATGCCAAGCCCACTACATGCCTCAGCCTCAAATAATGTTGGTGAGGTCAATCGAGTCTACCTACTGTGGTCCTGTGGAGAATCCTGAGATGAGAATGTGTCGTTATAATGGTCTTGTGGAATGTGTACAATTTACCCTTGTTCATTCAAATGCTGATTTCTCTCCCCCACTATCTAGTTGCAATCCAGACATTGCATTGTGATGTTTATTCTAAGTATCATCTGTCTCAAGTCTGTGTAAACATGCCACCATTTTTTCTCTAAATTGTCAATTAAAACAACGTTGAGCAACGGAGAGGATAGGGTGGGACATCCTGGTCTGGAGTGGGAGGAAGAGGAAGGAAGTAGGAAGGAGGAGAGGAGGAGAATCCAGAGAAGAGTTTTTTTTTTTTTGGAACCATGTGGAGAGAAGGGACCGGACCTGAGATATGGCTAAAAGCAAGTATAATGGGTGAATCTGAATGGTAGGAAATTATGTAGGCTTGGAGGTTTAGGATGGAGTAACTATTGCCCAGCATTGTGCACTAGATTAATTAAATAAATCCGGTCTCTGTGTGGTGATTTGGGTATACAGCTGGTTTAGAAATAACCACTGTTAAAAAAACAAAAAAAAATGGGAAAAAAAAGAAATAACCACTGTTTAACTAAAAGATATAATAATAGTAAATATTAATAACTACAACAAGATGCTGATAGATTTTCTTTTCCCTTGAGCCTAGCGATGGTGAGTCCCAAGTTGCTGCAGACCATCTCCTTACATGCTAGGCTAATACCCTCTGATGACCAACCCTTCAATGCCCTCACAGCCGAGAGGAAAAGCCGGCCACTGTGATGTTCTCCCCATTAATGCAACTGGCATCTGCAGAGCACAAGAAGGACACGAGTCCCACACAGTCTTCAGGCTGACCAATCCTGGATGGGAAGAGGATTTGCACTTTGGTTCTGGAGCTCCCATGCCACAGGTGGCATGAGGTCCCATGGAGAGAGGGGAGAAAGGGTGGACTCAGTCTTCAGCAAAAGGAAAGGCCAGTCGACAGAAACACAAAATATCCTCAGCTGTATCTCCCCAGCTGTGTGCAGACCACCAGGTCAGCAAACCCACTTGCCTCTGTATCTGATAGTGCTCCTTTAACTGACTCCAGAGAGCCTCATTGCTATGCACCTAGGCAAAGAGAAAAGACGGGTGAGTCAATATGACTAAGATAAGGAGACAGTAAGACCCAGAAGTAGCCACCTGGCCAAGCAACCATGGTTGCTGCCCTTTGTAGTATCGGTGGACTGGGCTCCAGCTGAGTTCAGAGGACAGTGAAGATCTCAGCTAGGCTGCCAGGTTGGGGACTCCCAGTCCTCACCGTTCTGCTGAAGTTGGTCTTAATAACTTCTGGAATCAGACAATTCACCCAGATGTTCTTGGTAGCCAACTCCTGTGCCAGTGTTCTAGTGAGACCTAGCATGGCTGTCTTGCTGACATTGTAGGCGCCTAACTCCTGGAAGGAAATTACAAGTGTTTGGGATAGAGATGAGGCAGGAGAAAGAGTCTGTTGGATCGCTCACTCATGGAGGATCACAGCTGAGCAAGCCCAGATCTCAGACACACTTTGCTCATGCTCCCTTGTCAAAAAAAAAAAAAAAAAAAAAAAAAAAAAAAAAAAAGCCACATGGGTACAAGCCTAGCCCAGGACATCGGGAGGGTCTATCCTGGACTTTGTCCCTGGGTGGCTCTGGAAAATATCGTTACCCCCTCCTGTATGCCAAACATGAGGATACGAACCAAGCACTTACCACAGTGGACTATAAGCTGAGATGGAAGAAACGAAGACGACAGCAGCACTAAGAAGAGATGGAGGCAAGAGGAGACGTGAAGCGGAAGAGTCACCATTGATCAAGGTGTTACCATCAGCCACATCCTGCAGTGCAGGTACCATTACCACACCCACTCTGCATGAGGAAACTGAGGCCAGTGAGTGCAAAAGCAGAGACTTCCAATCCTCTTTCCCACAAACAGAATGGCCATGCTTATCCCTTGCGCAGCCCCCTTCTACCTTTTTTGAAGAAGAAAGAGATGAGCAGAAAGCTAAGGGCTGGAAGAAAGACTGGAGTGGGTTTGGTGAAATGACACCCAGGACAGGGGACAAATGCCTACCAATGAGCACCTTTTTAAAATAATTTGTCTCACTTTTTATTGTATGTGCGTTAGTGTGAAGGTGTCAGATCTCTTGGGAGTGGAGTTACAGACAGCTGGGAGCCACCATGCGGGTGTTGGGAATCGAATCCTGGTCCTGTGGAAGAGCAGACAGTGCTCTTAACCACTGAGCCATCTCTCCAGCCCCCAACAAGCACTTTATAAGAAGCAGACAGAGGAGGGGAGAGACTAAATAAAGGAATAAAGGTCACCACACTAGGGAGCTGCCTCAGTCAATAAAATGCTTGAAGTGAAAGCTGGAGGATCTGAGCTTGATCCCAGCACCCAGGTAAGACGCCAAGCACGGCGGTGTACACCTGCAATCCCAGTGCTGAAAAAGCAGAGACACGTGAGTCTCTGATGCTCACTGGCCAGTCAAGCCAAGCCAGTGAGAGAGCTCGTCTCAACAACAACAAAGTAGATAGAGATAGATGAAGACACTGGTTTTGATCTCTGGCCTCACACTCATACGTACGCACACAAACAGTGTGGTCAGTGGTGAAGAGCACTGGCTGCTTTTCTTGATGTTGATTCCCAGCGCCCACATGGCAGCTCACAGCCGTCTGTGACTCCAGTTTCAAGGGATTGGCTGCACTCTTCTGGCCTCCGAGGGCAGTACACACACGGGTGCGTAGGCATTCATCCAGGTAAAACACCCACACCCATAAAATAATATTAATTAAAAAAAGCCAGGCACAGCACTTGCCTATAATACTAGCATTTAGGGAGGCAAAGGCAGGTGGATCTCTGTGAGTTCAAGGCTATCCTGGTCTACAAAGCAAGTCCAAGACAGCCAAGGCTACACAGAGAAATCCTGTCTCGAAAAACCGATAATAATAATAATAATAATAATAATAATAATAATAATAATAATAATAATAATGGTTAGAAACTTTTTCATCTACCAGAGTCTGCCTTCTGCGAGTATGTGTCAGTGAGGAACAGAGTAAAACCTGGGGATAGACACAGATGCAGTCCCTGGAGAAAGAAAACAGGGACTAAGAAATGGCCTGGGATAGACTTTTCTCTTTGGAAAGAAATAAGAAAGTCCCATCAGAGGTGTTAAGTGAGCACAGAGGGGTTACTTAGCTGTAAGAGGACCAGAGTCCAGGCAAGGATGATCAGCTCAGAATGTCAAGGAGATTAAACAACAACAAAAAACAAATAAACAAACAAACAAAAAAAAAAACAGCCTGTGCTCCTGTGGACTACTACCCTCATGCAGAAGTAGAACTTCCAGAGTAAGTAGGACGAGGAGATGGAGAGTGTGGGGGTCCCGGAGAGCCCCCTTCTGTACCTCCCCACTCCTGGCAGTGCCCAAGCACCCTCCAGGCTCCTGTACCTCAGTCTCCCAAGCTCCCCACAGCTAGTTCCTACCCTCACCCTACAGACTCACCCTCTCTTCTCCATTTGAGGCAGCAGCTGGCTCAGTAACAGGGCTGGGGCCTTCACGTTCACATTCGGGATCTGAAATCACAGTAAATGAGGGGCAGGGTTTATGGAAGCAATGGTCAGCCCCGGCCACGTGACTTGGGAGTCTTGTCATTTGTTCAGCTGATACAAACACGTGCAGGCTTGAGAGGCCAAATTGCCCTTCTGAGTAGGTCAAGAAGTGTTTCCGAGTTGCTCGTGGCTTTATAGACAGCCAGGCTAAGAGACAGAAAAGCCTGTGAGCACAGCCTCAAGAATATTTAGAATAGTTTTAAGGAAGAACTTTTTAAGGAACTGGACTGAGCCTTGAATGACTGTAATCCCCAGCACTCGGAGAAAAAAGGAGAGGATCAAGAGTCTAAAACCGGCCTCAGGTCCCAAATAAGAGGTTTGTGACCTTTCAGGAGGGTGCACGCTATAGAGTCATTGGACAATGATGGGGAGAGAGGGGTCCTAGTAGTTGGCCAATTTCCAGGAAGTGTAGACCAGGAAGAGCCCCTACTGTGGCTCTATGGCCCTGTGGCCCAGGATAAGCGATCTCAGTGTCAAGGAATCCCTCTGTCAGACATCTGCTGCCAGCTTCACGCAGTTAAAGGAGAGCACCTGATAAAATTCTGTTTCTTCTTTTTTTTTCTTTTTTGTTTTGTGTTGTTTTTCATGATGAGGTTCCTCTGTGTAGCCTGGCTAGCCTGGAGCTCAGAGATCTGCCTGTCCCTGTCCCGCCCCCCCCCCCCAAACACTGGGATTAACGGTGTGTGCCACCAATGCCTGGCTGCATCTGGGAAATCTTCCACTGGCTAGATGAACTAGTGATAGACTCAGAATCCCTGTCACATTAAGGAAAGAACTAAAGACTTCCTTTTTGGGTCGCTTGACCAAGATCTAGCCCAGATTTGAATTATCTGCTTCTTTCCCTGTGTCTCCCGTCACTCTGCAGGGTATGATTTCTGGCCTGTCATCAACCTGTCTGTTGTACGGGTATGAATCTGTGACCCTATGACCACCTGATGTCTGTCCTGTGAACCTGTCCCTAACGGGAGACTTTGTTCTCTCTCTCATTGAACAGCACAGAAAGCATCCGTGGGGGAAGGAATGGGATAATTTTCAGAAATCTTTAACAGTGCTTCACAAAGGGTTAAGTCACTGACTCAAACCAACCCAGAAAACAAACCAGCAAAGGCTAACAAGCTTGCAGCCGTTACGGCGAATAGTTGTTTCATAAGGCTGCTTTCGATCTGTTTTCTTTTCAGCAAGCCATTATCATAGCACGCATACAAACACATATGCACGGCCCTCTGGGTCAGGGACATGGAAGAGCAGGCAATTTAAGGTGATAGCTATGCACTGGTTTAGGTTGTAAAAGTCAACTACATGGGAAATCCGAGGCAAGTGAGTTTGGTTGTTATATTGTTCCCTTAAAGGCAGGGTAAACACACAGTTTGAGTACACAGTAGGAGAGCAGTCTTAAATCCTAAGTGACCTCAAGGTGTATTACTAATGCCAGCTGTGAGGTCCAGCACACATTCCAGCCTTCTGGAGTAGAAGAGATATGTTCATAATGATTATACTAGCATAAATTCCAAACTCATTTTGTGACAATGCCTCCAAGATGTTGGCAGATATGATCCAGGGACAATTACTCCATCAAAAATGTCTGTCCAGTGAGCAGAAAGGCTCACTGAGTATCAAGTCCTTGAATAACAGGAGTGCATCAGAGAAAAGTCAGGTCAAGGGTCGGCATGTGCTAGCCACTTCAAGAGGGGTGGTTTCTAACGCTCTGAGAAAAAGCCGTGAACTCATGCATTGAGATGCCGAAAAGAGGGACTCGGAAGGAATGGGAGACTGTTTGCAATGAAATGCCACCTACGTAGTCACAAATGCTCTTTCAGAGACATTAGAAATGAAGCTGAAAAGCCTGGGAGGCCACTGCCGGTGGCTGCCGGCAGTTCAAATTTCAGGTCGTCTCTGAAGATGGAGTGAAGGGCACCCAGTCAAGGGCAGAGAGAAAGGAGGGGAATGAAGATGGTATCATCAAAATAGAAGCTGGGAAGGTAGAACACACCAAGGTCAGTGGGCAGAAAGAGCTTTGATTCAGTGCTGAGAGCACAGCAGAAAATACTGGCAGGCATGAGATTCAGCCCGTGTCTATCTGATCCATCAGAGAGAATTGAAAACAAACCATAGGACCTAACAGCACAGGAGGTGGGAGAATAACAGACCCTAAGATGACTTGGAGTCACTTTACAGAGTCTTTCCCAGACCCTTAAGGGTAAGGAGTGAATTCGTGGTGGGCTGGAAAGTCTGAGCACATAGACCCAGTCCTGACCAATCAAATCTCCAAAGAGAAACACAATGTGCAATGTTCAGCCCGACAAGACTCTTCCTAATATGTTCCTAACCCAGGGCCTGGAGCAGTGTCTAGCACGTGGCAAGGGCTCAATAAGTGTGATGGTTAATCTTGGCTGTCACCTTAATTAGATTAGTAAAGCATACTCCTGTGTATGTCCATGCAGTGTTCCAGGGAAATCCTGAAGATCTGCTGTGATTGTGGGCAGCATTGCCCAAGGTAAGCTGAGCACCGGTGAGAAGAAAAGGTGTGACGGCTTGACTAAGAATAGCCCCCTATAGGCTCACGTATTGGAATGCTTAGTCATCAGGGAGTGGAACTACTTGAGAAGAATTAGAAGGTGTGGCCTTATTGGAGTGGGTGCAGCTTTACTGGAGGAAGTGTGTCACTGGCGGGTGGGCTTGGGAGGTTTCAAAATCTCAAACCAGACCCAGTGTGGTCACGTTTTCTGTCTGTCTCTGTCTCTCTCTGTGTCCTCCTCCCCGCCCCCGCCCCCCCCCGCTGCCTACATGACACTCTGGATGTGGAACTCGCAGCTGCTCCTCCGGCATCATGTCTGCCTGCACGCTGCCATGCTTCCTGCCATGGTGAAAATCAACTAAACCTCTGAAACTTTAAGCCAGCCTCAATAAAACGCTTTCTTTTGTAAGAGCTGCTGTAGTCATGGTGACCGTTCACCGCCATAGGCCATGGACTAAGACAGAAGGGAAGAAGGGAACCCAAGGCTGCAGGCATCCACTCTGCTTCCTGGCCACCATAAGGTGAGAACTGCCTGTCCTCCAGGCCCTCCCCGCCCATCCCCACCCACAAATAAGCAAAGCCACACATGGTCTGAAATTCTAAGCCAAGAACCAATTCTTCTTCCCTGTGTTTTCTCAGAAAAATCTGTCGTAGTGGCAACAAACCAGTCACTGAGCAAATCAGTGTGTAAGAGTCAGGAATTGAAAGCAGAGCGTAAGGGCTCGACTTTAAAATGAACCACAGCATAGCCTAGATGAGCCCTACCATTCAGGCCTGCCTTTACGGTGACGTCTGGGAGGAGCCCAGTACAGAGCTAATACCAGACCCCAGCTCACTTGGTTGGCCTCTCACCTTGTCCCATACCTGTTCACTGCCCCCAGAGTGCTCCCCAACGGGGGCTGACACCAGGGAATCCACGCCTCCACAGTACTCCAGGGCCTGGGAGAGAGTTGTGGGAGAGGGTGGAGATGGCCTGAGGAGAACTCCTCTTTTCAGAGCAGTCGTGAGTGCAGGACCTTCAGGCACAGATTGCTAATGCGATGCTACCTCAACCATGAATGGAAGGGGAGCATCCTGAGTGGACCCAATGGTCCTGAGGCCTAAGGTATCTCCAGGAATCCCCTGAGGCATCCCCCATGCCTTTATACATCTTTTCAGCTGTGGAGTTCTTTCCCTGTGCAGAAGGCCAGGGCCCCCATCCCCATCCTGCCTCTCCCAGGACTGAGCTGTGAAGCAAAGTGCTCCCTTCTCTTTGTCCTTCCATTCCTTGGCCTCTTACCTTGGCTACTGGCTGTTGCCGATCCTCCGCCTTCCCCACATGGCACACAGTGCCGGTCACGGTCAGCCCCTTCCCCTGTAACAGGACCCTGCTTGGTCCACATTCTGCTGTTTCCGGCTGCTGATGACCACGTGGGCCCCATCCTCGGCCAGACGCCGGGCGATGGCAAAGCCAATCCTGCAGATAGATGGGATACAAGTCAGCTCCCCCCACACAAAGATGTGGATAACCTGCTCTACAACTCTGAGTCTTTCCACGGAGGCCAAGGTCCTTCTGTGTAAGAGGTTAAGAGGCCAGGAGATCAGAACACTCACCCGTCAGTGGACCTGTGAGCACAGCCATGCGCTCAGCCAGGACTCCGCTCTGGGCTACACTGCTGCTCTGCATTCTCACAAAGAACCCAGTGCTTGAGTGAGACAGGCACCGTTGGGCCCAGACCATGGCTTGGAGCATGGTGAACAGGCCTGATCCTACTGGATCCTGCTGCCCTTGAGGAAACAGTCCATTTCCGGTTCACAGTGGTGGCTTTAGTGGGCATGAGATAGTCTCCCACCCCAAACACACACACTCTCTCTCTCTCTCACACACACACACACACACACACACACACACACACACACACACACAC